ACATACATACGTACATACATGCATACATACGTACAAACATGCATGCATACATACGTACATGCATGCATACGTACGTACATACATGCATACATACATACGTACATACATGCATGCATACGTACATACATGCATACATGCATACGTACATGCATGCAAACATACGTACGTACAAACATACATACCTGCATACGTACGTACGTACATACATACATGCATAAATAGCAATAGTTTATCTACAACAATTCAAAACCCAAGATACATGAATGAACCCATGATTGAAAAGGAGTAAAAACTTTCATGCAACATTCTTCAGACTCCAGCCTGAACAATTTGCATTGGTTGCAAAGAAACAAAAACAATATCACCTCCTTCACATTTTATTCTAACAACAGTTTGTGTCAAAACCTCTGAGATGGATTCAAACAGAGTGAAAAGATGAAAGTGCTGCGTGATTAAGTGTGTAAATACTGAACACGTGAGGACATGGACCCCACAGTTTGATGCCTCTTTGAGCCTTTAGGTGGCGCTGCAGGGTAGTTTAATGAAAGGAGTTTAGAACAACTATCAGGCAACAGTTCAGGCCGATTAGAAAAGTACAATTATTATTATTTTAAAAAAAATTTTGGTTTCAACACATGCAGGAAATACTTTCTCGTAGAAAAGAATGACATTAAATAAAATGTACACATTAAATTAATCTGGGACATATTTACTTGGGTGTGTTATTTTTGTGCGTTTCTGTCTGCAGCACCGTGTGGTCGGTGGTGAAATCCATCATGAGGAACGAGGGGCCGCTGGGTTTCTTTCAGGGGCTGATCCCCACCATCGCCAGAGAGGTGCCCGGTTACTTCTGCTTCTTCGGTGCCTATGAGCTGTGGCGCACGGCATTCGCAGATTACATGAAGTGTGGCAAAGACGACATAGGTAGAGGTTCAATTTCTYTCTTTCAAAGACTGACGTTGCTTTAAGAAACGTTTGTGGATAAAAATAATCAGCTCATGGCAGAGGTCCCTCAAAAAAAGGATTTGTCACTTCTTGTTGAAGGTGTGGCTCCGACCGTGTTCAGTGGTGGTTTCGGGGGGGCGTGCCTCTGGCTGGTGGTCTATCCCATGGACTGTGTTAAATCCCGGATTCAGGTCATGTCCATGATGGGCAAACAGGCGGGCTTTGTCAGAACCTTCATGACTATTGCTCACACTGAAGGTAAGCAGAAGACAAGCCCAGATTTCCATACGTCTGTCGGATTATAATCCTGTTTCCTGTGTTCAGGCGTGAGGGCGCTCTACTCCGGCCTCACCCCCACCATGGTGCGCACCTTCCCGGCTAACGGAGCTCTGTTTCTGGGCTACGAGACCAGCAGGAAGTTCATGATGAAACACTTCGACAGCTGAACCCAAACTGCTACACTCCTCTGCTTGAAGAGAACCAGAACYGTGTTTATATTTCTCTTTGCTCAATCTCGGTGATGTTTTTAGACTTGTTATATTAAAATCTCAAAAAATTATTGTTTAATAGAAGGAAAATTCAGTATTTAAACAACCAGTGTTTTTATAAACRTGTTTTAGTCCTACTTCAACAAAGCTGCATCTTCTCTCCGTTAGAATATCTTTAACCCSTTAATGCTTGTTTTTAAAGATGTTGAGCTTTTTGTAAATTAAAATTTGAAATAGAAGTGCCACACTACATATATGAAGCCAAATATTTGGTGGGCTTTTTGTTTGCTGCTTTTGATTTTATCCGTGTTCAAACAGAAGAACTGAATTTGCCAATAAGTTTTAAAAATGTTTTAAATGTGTAAAACTTAAAAAAAGCAGTTCTTTCAAAATTAATCTTTAATTAGAATGCATGTATGGTTCTTTATTTATTTATTTATTTATTTTGGCTTTTCTGTTTGGAAACAAAATCATAAAAACCACTGCATTGAGTTTTTTTTCTGTTTTTTTCTGTAAAAATGTAAAACCAGTTAAAAATCCACAGTTTGATTTTTGCTTTAGCCATCTAAATCCAAAATAAATTAAATGGTTTTAATTTGTAGCAATTCTGGACATGACTGAAGTTACCAAAAAAGAAGAGTTTATAGTGGCTGGAAGGCTGCATAAAAACAGTAACCATTCCTAAAGATACTGTATATGCAAAGGCTGCACTCCAACCCAATTCTGCATAACTTAGAATATTAAAGTAATTTTATTTACGATGAGATCATCATCTCTTGACTCCCTGTAAATAAGATAAACATCCACAAAATATAAATCTAGTCTGCTTTAAGAATTAATGCGATAAAACGTAGCCTTTACTTTTGCTGTTTTTTATTTAGTTTTAAAACAAAAAAAATAAACCACACAAATATTTTTTCTTGTTTTATGTTGAAACAGATAAACCAAAGAACGAWCCATACACTAATTAACTTAGATGCATTTTTTTCTCTCTGCGTTATGTTCAGCTTTTAGTTTTTTGGGACCCAACTTTGTTTTCCTAATAAATCTCTGTTTACCTTCTGTCTTAGAAATAAAATTACTTCCAACAAATCAGTTGCCTCATCTTGTGCCTATTCAGTCCTGTASTTTTGAGCAGTTTTTATTCAGAGCTTATTAGTTGAAATACTGAAATTATTTGGATTTGAGTTATTTTTTTTTGTTATTTTTTGATGTTTTTGAATTTAAATAATTTGTAAATCTGTTCAGATAATTGTAGTTGAGCTGCAGTTATGATTCTAATAAAGATCCTAATGTGTTTTTATTTCTCTGTCATTTATTTTAGGCACTTTGACTTTACAGAGAATTAAAATAATTTAACATTTTGTGAGGTGACTTAAACACTATAAAGAACACCATCCCTACTGCCAAGCATGGAGGTGGAAGTATTATGCCTTGGGCCACTGGAAGACTCAGCCTCCATCTTCTATCACTTATAGTCGGTTCTTTGATGCAACAGGTCCTCGGGTGGAACACCTGGTCATGTGGTCATGATCCACGACTCATGATCACAGGTGAGGGTTGGAACATAAACAGACCAGTAATAAGACAGATGATTATTATTTTAGCATAACCCTAATCAGACTGAAAATATGAAAACTAAACATGATGTTACCCCTAAAACATCTCGTCTCAGAATCTTGTGTGACTTTAAAATGAAACAAATTTGTCATTCGTATTAATTTGTGTTGTTCACATCTTGTGTATTTTGC